CCCCCCCCCCCCCAGCACATACCCAAGTAAGGTATATCAGTCTGGCTGGGTCAGAAAAAGAGCCACTACAGATTTATGGGAGTAAAGGTGTTTAGTATAGGAATGAGGGCTTACTCACGGATAAGAGGAGCTGGGAGAATAAGTCTCTGATCCTCTGACAGTCCCCAATGTGTCTCCAGCATTACTTGCAGGGTAGAAAATGATTAAAGAGGTAGATGGGGACCAAACAGCAAAAGGCTTTAAAAGTAATACAAAACTGAGGGGGAACTATTGAGAGGTTTTGACATGGATACAATATAATTAGAATTATGTTTTATTAAGATAGCTCTAGCATTGATGAAGGATGGATTGATTAGAGGAAAGCGAGTCTAGATACACTTAGAGGGCTATGACAGAAATTGAAAGGGCCTGTACCAGTGTAACAGGAATGAAGAAAAGTTGCTTTTTAAGGGTTTTAAATGTAAGCAGAGGGCTCTAGGAAGGCTCTCCTGGTGTCTGGCTTGGGTGTCTGAGAGCATGGTAGAATCATTAACCAGAACACAGAAAGCAATGAGAATAATACCTTGAGAGAAAAGTGAATTAAGTTGTGGAAAGTGACTCAGGTAAATTAAGAAAGGCCTCATTCAAAAGATGTATGCTTCAAAGATCTTGGTAATATCTGTTTGTTTGTGTTGCAGTGTGATTTAGAAGGAAGTATGCCAAATGTTACCATCAGCTTGAGTCTCCCCACCAATGGATCTCCACTTCAGGATATTCTGGTTCATCCTTGTGTGACATCTCTCGACTCTGCCATTCTGACTTCTAGTAGCATTGATGCAGCAGATGATTCCGCATTTAGTGGGCCGTACAAATTTCCACTCACTCCACCTTTAGAGTCATTCAACCTATGCTACTACACTTCTCAGGTAAACAACCTTGGAGAAGTTGGGACTTTGCTAATCTTCATATTTATGAATTCTGTTGTAATCAAATCATCCATACTTTTGGTCCAAACAGAACTTTTCATGAGTTATTTACCAGAAGATTCAGATTGTTTCCCTTCAATCAGTTATTGATGACCTATTAAGCTACTGCTGATCTAGGAGGGTTGGGGAGTCAAGATACAAGCAGGGCAGCAGAAACTGTGGGCGGGTGTCAGTGATCAGTATGTCTAGTACATGTTCTGTGTTGCAGGTCATAGAGAGCCTGGAGGAAGGGAATCTGAACAAGCAGGAGTAGGAAAAAGAATATATCACACACCTCTGTAAGGCACCTTTCTCACCTCTGGAAATAGAAAAAGATGCAAGAATCCCTGACCTTAGAAGGAATGTAGCTTCATCATCTATTATCAAAATAACTTGGAGTAACCCATTAGTCATTAAAGTCATATCTGTATATAATGACTATATTACTGCAAGGCTTTTTTCTCCATCACCACTGATATTTTAGACCCATTAACCTGAGAATTATATAAAAATGTGTTTATGTTTGTTTCCAGGTCCCTGTGCCACCAATTTTGGGTTTTTATCAAGTAAAAGAGGAAGAAATACAACTAAAAATAACAGTTAATTTAAAACTTCATGAAAGCGTGAAAAATAGTTTTGAATTCTGTGAAGCTCGTATACCTTTTTACAACAGGTAGGAATAAAATAACATAATGCCATGATCTCTGCCTTCTTTAGTATATTCCCACTGCCCTATAATAAATTGTCTTGGTTTTTACCTTATTTTTAAGATCTAAAAATTTTATGTTATTCAAATGTATGCTGATTCTTAACCAAAACATTGTCATAAAAATAATCTCTTTATTTTTAAATATCGTCATTTTTCTGGTTAAACTACTTGCTAGTAAATTATAAACTTAAGCCAGTGTAGCTTCTTCAGGGTTTATTTTACTACTGGCTTTATTTCTAACAATTTCTCTGTACTCAACATACAGATCAAGCCCAACTAGAAAACCTGGTGAATTAATATCATAAGATTACTTCCTTATCAGTTCTACTTTTAAGTTTGTCCTACAGAATAGTTCTTTTCAAAGGATACATAAATATATGGTAAAATCACAGTTTTAACGTTCCGTCAATCTATGTGCCTGTATTAATACATTCTGCATGACTTTGTAGTTATCTTTAGAATTAATAATGAAATGTATAGCATCACCAAAAAAATGTTTATTGTGTTTCTGTGTTTTCTGAGATATAATATTCATTATTTATTCTACTCTATTCTGCAAACTTGAATACAGATCTGCTTTTATGTTGTCCTTGTATTAAGTAACAGTAGCAAGATTTGACTTAAATCTCTTTAAACTGTTATATCTATGATTATTTTTTTCTTTCCATTTTGCCCATTTCTTTTTTAAAGAGGTCCAGTCACACATGTGGAATACAAAGTTAGTTTTGGCCAGCTTGAAGTATTTCGAGAGAAAAGCTTATTGATCTGGAATATTGGTAAACTAGGTTTTGTTTATTTTTTTTTTCATTCATTTGCTGTAGAATCTATTTAATTTATAATAGTTGATTGATGTATTTCTGTTTTTAGGACAGAAGTTCCCAAAATCAATGGAAATTAGTCTTTCTGGAACTGTAACTTTTGGAGCCAAGAGCCATGAAAAGCAGCCATTTGACCAGATTTGCATTGGAGGTACAGCATATTTAAAGGTAAATATATTTATATGGCTCACTACATTAGAAACCTTTTCTTTTGTTCCAAATTGCATATAATTGATTTTTAATGTTTCCTAACTTTTTTTTTGGAGTTCTGTTCTTTTTGTCTAAGTCCTCTGTTAGATTTTAGTAAGATTCTTTTTGTTTAGTAACCACTTTCTATTTCACTTAATACTTTAAAATTTTTAAGGTGAAAGAATTATGTATAACCTAAATACCTCAACTTAACCTAGTTCTACACAGCTCTTAGATATCACATTTGAGATTTGTATACAAAGAATATAAGATGTAGTCTTTGCCCTCTAGGGATTTTTCAATGATGCATGTCAGTAACTGATCAGGACTGACTGCTTTTGGTCTTTCAAAAAAAAACTGAGCACTTCCAACCAAAGTGGTCAAGGAAAGCTTTGTAGTAGAGATAGAGTTTAGGCAGAACTCTGAGGCTCAGGTAAGCATCGATATGAAGCCTTGAATATTAACTCTCGTTTGTATAGGTGAAGAAATGACTTAATCACAGGAGTGAAGGATAACAAGGCATGTTTAGGAACCAGTGCTAGAAACAATAGTCACACAGAAGTCTGAATAAGTGATTTAGGTCTGGATTGTAGAGGATTTGAATCTGGCTTTCATTGCTTTGTTAGAAAATGTTATACTTTCTTTGAGTACGGGAGTGGTCCTTCAGAAAGCGATACTTTATGAGGATCTATCTGAAATGGATGTGAGGAAGGTGAGTGAAGAAAAAAACTAGAGACAAAGAAGCTATTTTTTAGCTATATTAGTATTCCAGCTGAAAGGTAGTAAGTTAATAATGCTGAACTAGTGTAGTGTCACAGAAAGAGAAAGGAAGGGAGAAAAGGGAATAGAGCTGTGATAAAGGTATAGCCTTTAATCGCACTAATTAAGTAGAAAGATAAGAAATAGTTTTAAGTCAAAGATGATGTCATTAAAAAATTGTGACTTAAACCAGACTTGAAGCTCCAGGAGGGCAAAGACCATGTGAATCTCATTCATTCATTGTTTTATTCCCAACATCTAGTTCAGTACCTAGCACATAAATATTTGATGAATGGATGTACATACTTAGAAGAAAGTTCTGTATCTTAGAAGAAATGTGGAGAAAGTTGGGAGGGAGTGGGCTTCATATCACATATGTTACTGGTAATAGCAACTTACCCCAGTATAGGTGTCCAGTAGGTGGCTTAAAACCCAAAGCTTGATTCTCAAGAGAAAGCTCAACTGTTCTTAGGATCTAGGAGTTATCCATGGAGAAGAAATAGTTGAGGCAGTAGAAATGAATAAGGTCAGAAAAAGATAAGAGAAAATAGGAGGAAGTTTCAAAAGAATCAGTGAGGGAAAGTGAAAATGTGATCAGAAAGGTAGCAGGAAAACCTAAATAGAGTAGTATCAGAGAAATCAGAGAGATTGAAATCTATATGTGAAAGCAACTAGGGGAAATGGTAGTGAAGTCAGAAGTACACTAGTGATATTCATTTCTTCTGTATTGGCTTCAACTATGTCCATGAGCTTTGTTTCAATGATTATTATAGAAATTCCCTCTTCCCGATGTTTTTCAGAAAAAAATGTGAGATGTTACTATACTATATGTTTTATCAAAGGTAGGGATTATGACTCTTTTATTCATTTTCATCACTTAACCAGTTATAGTCGCATCAAAAGCGTGTAGTAGGGCTTCCCTGGTGGCGCAGTGGTTGAGAGTCCGCCTGCCGATGCAGGGGACATGGGTTCGTGCCCCGGTCCGGGAGGGTCCCACGTGCCGCGGAGCGGCTGGGCCCGTGAGCCATGGCCGCTGAGGCTGTGCGTCCGGAGCCTGTGCTC